TGCTTCAGCGCTTAAGCGTTGGGGCTTGTTCTCGGGTGCAAGACTGAAGGGCGGGCCTTACCACCGCGCTCGAGACTGGTTGATAGACTTTGGCGCGATCGTGCCTTGCTGATAGATGAATAGCTTTACGTTGGGTTGTTCGATGTTTGGTAGATGTCTAGTGAGGCAGCAGTTGCAGACTTGGCATGACTTGGCATGTGCCTGCTGTTTCACTGTGATTTTGCTTGCTTTCACCTTGACCCTCATCACGGCTTACAAAGCAGCACCTGCTTTCTGCTTCAGCGCTTAAGCGTTGGGGCTTGTTCTCGGGTGCAAGACTGAAGGGCGGGCCTTACCACCGCGCTGGAGACTGGTTGATAGACTCTGGCGCGATCGTGCCTTGCTGATAGATAAAATAATTAGCTTTACGTTGGGTTGTTCGATGTTTGGTAGATGTCTAGTGAGGCAGCAGTTGCAGACTTGGCATGACTTGGCATGTGCCTGCTGTTTTACTGTGATTTTGCTTGCTTTCACCTTGAACCTCATCACGGCTTACAAAGCAGCACCTGCTTTCTGCTTCAGCGCTTAAGCGTCGGGGCTTGTTCTCGGGTGCAAGACTGAAGGGCGGGCCTTACCACCGCGCTGGAGACTGGTTGATAGACTTTGGCGCGATCGTGCCTTGCTGATAGATAAATAATTAGCTTTACGTTGGGTTGTTCGATGTTTGGTAGATGTCTAGTGAGGCAGCAGTTGCAGACTTGGCATGACTTGGCCCGTGCCTGCTGTTTCAGTGTAATTTTGTAGGTACCTTATCTGGGAAAGGATCAAACCTTTCCCAGATACGATTCCTTCGCTTGAATTCACTTGCTTTCACCTTGAACCTCATCACGGCTTACAAAGCAGCACCTGCTTTCTGCTTCAGCGCTTAAGCGTTGGGGCTTGTTCTCGGGTGCAAGACTGAAGGGCGGGCCTTACCACCGCGCTGGAGACTGGTTGATAGACTCTGGCGCGATCGTGCCTTGCTGATAGATAAATAATTAGCTTTACGTTGGGTTGTTCGATGTTTGGTAGATGTCTAGTGAGGCAGCAGTTGCAGACTTGGCATGACTTGGCATGTGCCTGCTGTTTCACTGTGATTTTGCTTGCTTTCACCTTGAACCTCATCACGGCTTACAAAGCAGCACCTGCTTTCTGCTTCAGCGCTTAAGCGTTGGGGCTTGTTCTCGGGTGCAAGACTGAAGGGCGGGCCGCGGTGGAGACTGGTTGATAGACTCTGGCGCGATCGTGCCTTGCTGATAGATGAATAGCTTTTCGTTGAGTTGTTCGATGTTTGGTAGATGTCTAGTGAGGCAGCAGTTGCAGACTTGGCATGACTCGGCCCGTGCCTGCTGTTTCAGTGTAATTTTGTAGGTACCTTATCTGGGAAAGGATCAAACCTTTCCCAGATACGATTCCTTCGCTTGATTCACTTGCTTTCACCTTGAACCTCATCACGGCTTACAAAGCAGCTTTCTGCTTCAGCACTTAAGCGTTGGGGCTTGTTCTCGGGTGCAAGACTGAAGGGCCGGCCTTACAACCGCGCTGGAGACTGGTTGATAGACGCGATCATGCCTTGCTAATTGATCATAGATGTGTACTCAGGTAATGTGGATTCTCCTGGCGCTCCCGATTTCAATGCAAGCTTGAAAGAAACAGGGAACTAGAGCTATCTTTCTGAGCCTAGCCTCACCGTTTGCAGTTGATAAGCTCTATGCCCAAGAATATTGTTATCAACAAATTAAACAGCTGCCAAGTCTGAACTGATTGATCGTGACTGCTTATAATGCTTGAGCGCATCCAGGTTGCTTGAGCCCACAATTCAACCAAGCCGTAGAAGCTCTACCAGTAAACTCAAAATACCTTTGTGCGCCCAAATCATTCTGTTGGAGTCCTTGCACGTTCAAATTGTTGCCTGCACTATACTACAATATACTACATACATCTTATATATATATGATTAATATATATATGTTATATACACAGGCATATTATACTGTAGTATAGGGTATATTAAGTATCGTATATCGGATATTTCATGAAACTAATATCAGTGGTGGGGACTTTTCGATTCTGAGGTCTGCACCGATCCCAAGTCGGGGGCCGTGTGCGCGGGAGTTTCCGAAGCACACCATAGCTGCCATAGCTGTAACGTATTTAGGATATGAACTTACAAACCCATGTTTATCCATGAAAATTCAATTAGAGTTCTTTTCTATATAATATAGCTGATACACGTCACACACTTTTTCCCCTGTACTTCAGGTGATTCGGTGGGTGTGCTGGAACATGCTGGAACTGAAAACCGCAACACGCAGCTGGCCGTGAAGGTACTACTACAACAAGGAGACGAAAATGTCTGCTTGGCAGAGGCGAAAGCGGGGTGATTTTTCTGGCGGTGAACCCAACCATGGACGACAGTAACAATAGTAGCAGAAAAAATGGCTTTGGTTTAGGGTAGAAATAACTATAGTTAATGGAGGTTCTATTGGTTTATAGACCAACTTATAACTGGGGGGCCCCATCCTGTACTGCTTTATGGGATTTCATCTAAATTCGAGCGGCGTTCTTTGCATATTGGGCCATATTGGGTCATTGGACTGTGCATTTTGATTCTGCGGCCGATGCTGCAGCCGATTTAGACTGGCTCAGTTTTGTTGCTATCGTCTGCACTTGAACAACTTGAGAAGATGCCTTCCACTGTGGAGAACGTGGCTATGCTCGTCAGCGGTGCCGTGGCCACCACTGCCCTGAGCAGCGCCTTTGTTGCAAGTGGCCCAGTTGCACAGGAGGCCAGGACTGGTCTCCGTTCTTCCGGCTATGCCAAGTCCTCCCAATCATCCCAGTCCATGGGTGCCATGGCTGGTGTGGGTGCAGTGGCTGGCCTGGCTGTGGCTGGTGTTGCTGGCAGGCGTGCAGGCAAGAACCGCACTTCCATGCAGGCTGTGGGTGTTGGAATCAACGGCTTCGGCCGCATTGGCCGTCAGGTGGCCCGCATTGCCATGAAGGACCCAGAGACTGAGCTGAAATTGATCAACGCCAGCTATGACTCTGACTACCTGGCCTACATGATGAAATATGACACTATCCACGGCAAGTACGATGGAACCGTGGAGGTAGATGGCGACTCCCTGGTGGTTGATGGCCAGAAGATTGCTTTGTCCCACACCCGTGACCCAGCTGAGATCCCTTTCGGTGAGCATGGTGCAGAGTATGTTTGCGAATCCACTGGTGTGTTCCTGACCACTGAGAAGGTTCAGGGTCACTTGAAGGCTGGCGCAAAGAAGGTGATCTTCTCTGCTCCTGCCAAGGATGACTCTCACACCATTGTGATGGGCGTGAACGAGGACACCTACGAGCCATCCATGGAGTGCGTGTCCTGCGCCTCCTGCACGACCAACGGCTTGGCCCCAGCTGTGCGTGTGCTGCAAGAGAAGTGGGGCATCAAGCGTGGTCTCATGACCACCTGCCATGCCATGACTGCATCTCAGCCCACTGTGGATGGCACCTCCAAGAAGGACTGGCGTGGTGGCCGTGCTGGCCCTGGAAACATCATCCCATCCTCCACGGGTGCTGCCAAGGCTGTGGCCAAGGTGATCCCTGAAGTGAAGGGCAAGCTGACCGGCATGGCCCTACGTGTGCCAACCATCGATGTGTCCGTCGTGGACCTCACCGTTGAGTTGGAGAAGGAGACCACCTACGAGGAGATTTGCGCTGAGATGAAGAAGCGATCTGAGGGTGACATGAAGGGCTTCCTTGGCTACACCGACGAGGCATTGGTGTCCACTGACTTCGAGACCTGCCCAATCTCCTGCACCTTTGATGCCAAGGCCGGCATCATGTTGGATCCTACCTTCGTGAAGGTTGTGTGCTGGTATGACAACGAGTGGGGCTACTCCTCCCGTGTGGTGGACCTGATCAAGCACATGGCTGCTGAGGATGCCAAGGCCTAAAAGTCCAAATCTGAGGTGTGGATTGATTGCCTTACAGTTTCGCCAGGGTCCATAGACATTTTGAAGCGGCCCGGCGATGTAATTTTCCGAGAACTCACTGGGCAAGACCCAGGGTTAAAACGTCCCGCGGTAAAGATCTCGCGTCAGAAAAGACGACGCGGCGCCATTTGCTCCGGAAGTGGCACCATTAAGATCCATGAAGTGCATTACTATCCAGTGGTTAGGAGCCAAGGAGCCAGGGGTATTCATATTCCCTATTAAATGGGGAGCCAAGGAGCTACTTAGAGTTTTCCAATCACCCGATAGTTTATGAATTCAAAATCAACATCACAAGAGAACAGCCCATTTTTGGAAGAATCACGGTGCGTTCTGTGGTACGTTTTTTTTTTTTCGTTCTGAAACATTATCATTCTATCTCATTCTGACATGTTACAAACCATGATCAGAAAAAACCATCAATCAATGTCATACCAATTTGATGGTCATTGAACATTCACGAAAATGTCAATCACCAATGCTAACATAAAGGGGGTATATTGATGGGATCCATGTTACCATATATAGCAGCACCATGGATCCTATACCAATATTGATGGTCATTGAAATCACCCACATGTTATCTACCCATGATCTCCCAAAGCCATCACCGCCAGGCCCGCTGAGCTGACGCCGGCGGCGCCGGCGGACCTCTCCAAGGCGCCCCCGCCGCCGGCCAAGGCCAAGCCGCCTCCGCCTCCGGCCGTGGCCCCACTGGGGGATCACTGGGGATGCACAACCAATGGCAGAAATCCATAGAAATCCTGGAAAGTAAGGATTTCAGGCTATGTTTTTTCGGATTTTAATGGGATTTTCATAGGATTTGAGTTTACACTGTTTTTTTTTTTTAATGGAATTCAATGGGTTTTGATTGAATTTGTGGCGGGATTTATATAGATTAGCTAAGTTGGTTGAAATAACTGATCTCTTCCAATTTATTAGAGTCAGAGGTTACATGGTGAAAAAACCCAAGACATATGGGAAACTCGTCTTTTTTTGCTGGCTTGCGGGAGGATGATTCTTGGTTTACACCAACGTTTGAGGTTTGGTTGCACCCTGCAGGAAATCAAAGACACATATTTTCCGTATTGAAGTACCGTGTTGGCCGATTCCTGGCTTTGTTTTAGTGGACCCAAGTGAAACCCTGACACACGTTTGTTAGAAGATGTTGTTTGAAAAAAAAACATATGATTTTGAGACACTACTGTAGAATGGAATTTGTTTGATTTTGGATTGGTTTCGATGGATTTCGGTCCAACAAGACTGCGCTCGCCCGAGGCTCGTTCTGGCTTCGTGGGTGTTTGGGAAGAAGTGCGACCTGAGGCGGAAGACGATCCCCAGCAGATGTTCGGGTTGAAGCCACCAGTTATTTTGGCTAAACAACACCCTATTTTTCGGCTAAAACCCTAGGTTGAAGGCAGATTTGCAATTCAGCAACTGTCCGAAAGGTCGCTTTTTTTTAAAAAAATCATGGTCGGAACTTCACATCAGTGGGTCAAATCCATGCTACTTTGGTGAACATCAAGATACGACGCCGTAACTCATCCAGTTGTATGACCCATTTCGGTTTAATCATCCAAGGTGTTGGGGACCTATTCTCACCATATCTCACCAGATGGCAACTCTATGGATGTGATGGTAAACAAGGACGACAAATTCGGATCTGTGGTTTCATTGATTTCTCCATGTTCATTTTCCAATCCTGTTTGGGACGATGGTCTCAACTGGTGAAACCGCTAGTCATAGGGGCGATTTAGATATCCCAAGCTATGGAGGTTGTTGCCATGGTGAAACCGTGGTTTTTTCGACCCCTGCACCCGCAAAGTAGCTTACCCTACGATATCCCGCTAAATCATCATTTTTCTTTGTTACTGTGGGGATTGCTGGGGCAAACTAAAATAGACGGGGAACACCCATGGTTTCCCGTTCGGAACATGATCTACAAATGGTGGGTTTCGACACTTTTGTGTACGTTTGCAGAAGGGTACTATATGGAGGTTTCCAATGACTGTATGAAATGGGATACCCCCATGAAGTAGGAACCCCCCATATACATCCATATAGCCCTTTTGTTGAGTTAACTACCCATTGACACCCCAATTGCACCCAAAGAGTAGCTTACTGTACCCACTATATTCCATTAAATCCACTCACAACCACTTGATCACCCGGATGGCAGGACTCCATGTGGTCCAACCAGACAGAGGTCGCCACTGCCGCTGCCTTGGAAGCGGATGCCGTGGCCATGGAGGAAGAACCCGAGGAGTGCACCGAGCACGGTGGAAATGCGGTTCCTCCTTTTTTTCCGGAAAAACACAGGGCTTTGACCACCAGCAAATGAGAGATTTAAACATTTTTTCGCCAGAAAATGAAGGGATTTATCTGGACAAAACTACTTGTAGGATTTTAGGCATCTGAAAGGGGTTGAACATCGTTGAACCAGTGGAAAACGACAGATGTGGGTTGTTTTTGATTCACCATGAACAGACTTGTTTTTTCAGAAACATCGAGATTTTTGCCGTGGAAGGGAGGGTTTACCATGAAAAAGATGGGATTTTCATGACCTCCGATTATGTATCCCAAGTGACTCGACCAGGCATTGATATCATTGATGCAATTTTGGGGATGCAAAGTGATTCTACATGGGATTGACGCAAATGAAACCTGGGAATTGAAAACAGTTTTGAACTTTGGATGCAACCAAACAAATTGGAGGATTTTAGGACGTAGACTATGGGAGTTGTTCAACAAGCATGGGAGCAAAACCAACAATAGATGGTGATATAACGACGACCTAATGATTTAACAAGCAACAGCAACAATATGGGTACCCTCTGGTGATTATAGCTATGGAAAATAGCACATTTATAGATGATTTGTCTGGTAAAAAATGTGTTTTTCCAATATTTTTTCCAGAGGGTATATAATCGAACCACCAAGGTGATTTTATTGTATCAAACCAAATATCTGGGCAAATTGTAGTGACCTCACGTCGTGACCTCACTGGAATCATGGTTAGTAAATGTTAGTGAGGGGAATCATCCCTTAAATGGCCGTATTTCAGATTAGTGAAATATGTAGGTTTGTGTAGGTTTCCTGAAATGGGGGTACCGCTATTTCATCCATTTTTATAGGATTTTCCATTCTAAACCTACCATTTTGGGGATCCGCCATGACTATGGAAATTACCATTTCATAGGGATTTAAGTTGATTTAAGCATCAAACAAACAGGTTTCACAATGGTTTGATTTTTTGGCGATCAACGGGGGAATATGATGATATCGTACCTATCAGATTGACCTTTTTGGAAGGCTATTCAAGATTGGCCCTGTTTTTTTGATTAGTTAGTGTCCTCATGTTTGTTGGTTACCTGCCGGAAATCAAACATGGCTTGCCAAAACACTCTCGCTTTTATTTCGATGACATTCCCAGCTAGAAACCTCGCCAGCAAGCCATGTTTGATGACACCAGAGGCTAATTAATCAGTGAATATCAATTCTATCCCATTGCTATCTTATCATCCCATGATTCTCCCCATTAAACATCATTAAACCACAAAAAATATCCACCAGGAGGGTCGTCATAAGTTTGAACCATCAAACAACCGCCCTGGCCCGACCTCGGTTTCATGGCTTGGTTCAGGACGTGGTGAATCCCATCGCTGAGCTCAAAAACGAGCTGGGGGGCAGGAGCCGAAGCGGTTTCATCCATGGTTTTTTTGCAAGGATTGTTAGTGATTAGTAGGGATATGCTGGGGCCTAATGTAGGTATTCGTAGGGATTATGAGTGATTCGTAGGGATTTTTTTCCAGCCATATTTGGATAAATGGATGGGAATTGGATTCGAAGAGTCCCCAGATGGCCGTATGATAAGAGGAATTTTCAGCATAGTGATGAGTGAATTATTGTAATTCAGCCAGATTAAATATACGTATGTTTACTGGTTGGTGGTTTGGAACATTTTTATTTTTCCATATATTGGGAATAATCATCCCAACTGACGAACTCATATTTTTCAGAGGGGTTGGCTCAACCACCAACCAGAAGTGATTTGTGGCTCTATTGACTCAATGAGTGAATCCACACCGACCCACCGACCTTTGCGGTCCACAAACAACGAATGGTGGTGAATCATTTTTTGGAACAAATCCAACACTCCGTAAGAATGGACAAAGATCTGATTGGTGGATGATATGCTGGTGGGTAATATACTACACTTTATTTATTTGGGGTGATCACAATATATTTGATATATTCGAAGACCATGAAAACCAAGCATTTTATTTTGGGGATTTCACCACTTCAGCCAACAAAAAATGGTTGCCTTAAGTGAAAAGGACATCACAAAAAGAGCTTTCCGATTGTTGGCAAACCATTTCCCATGATGTTTCATGAAATGTATGTACGTATGTAAATATATATATATGTATATTATGTATATATATAAATACATATACTATCCCCTTGTACTTCCCATGATATCCCCAAGTGGGATTTTCCAGTATCCAAGAACTGGATCAAGGGAACACCTACAGGGGGACACCCCACTGGGAATAAGAAACCATGGGTTTCCTGTAGATTACACCAAGCCATTGATTGTGGATCATATTCCCATATTCTTGGTGATATCTTCATTATAAACCTGGTCATATCCCCATATCTCCAGTTTCAAACTGGTCATTTCAATATCTTTCGTAAATACTGTACTGTACCACTGTTAAACAAAAGGAATTTCCTAAAATCGGGTGATATCCGGTTTTCAACTGGTGGATATCCCTATAAACTCCCTAAAAAACCTGGTGATATCCGCATGAACCCTGGCCCGAAACCCCGTGCGCCATTCGAGGAAAGGCACCTGGGCGGATGAAGACCTCGAGAAACACGAGAAGCAGATCGAACAGAAACGCCTTTCTGGCCCAGTTCAATGGCCTATGTAAGGGAATATCCCCAGAAAATATGGCCTTATATGGTACAGTACCTCCATTTTAGGATCCTGAAATTCACATTGACCAGTGTTTGTTTTTTTTGGGATGACATCCCAGGTGGGGGTGTTGAGACCACATGTCTCAACTAATTAGTTATGAAAAAGGGTCGAACTGGTCGATTTTTTTGGGATAACCCATGACAGCTGTAGGCTATACCCCCATACACAACTGGGAGTATTCCATATATGATTGGGATATAGTCCGGTTTTCTTCACCGCTTACTAGATATAGATCGACGAGTTGGACACTCTTAGGAATTCTGAGGGAAATATTAAGTCTATGACATCTGGATTTTCTTTCATTTTTTTTCAGTGCTCTGAAAATATCAGTGGTTGGAAACATCTGGATTTTCATCACGGAAAATTTTCCTCGAATTTGCTGGTTGGAATCACATCTCGAATTCGGTGGCTTATGGCTGGTTGTTTAGCCATAGTCCGCTACCTTTTTGCTGGTAGATGTCCTCCCTTTTTCCTGTGCCAACTCTTGTGAAAGCCTTGTTTTCTTCACTGGTGGGTGATTACCCTCTGGTAGTCTAGTTTGCTATGGAAAATCACAATTTTTCATTGAAGCAAATGGTTTAAACGTTTTTTTTCAGTAGCTATGTTAGTTTACCAGAGGGTCTCTGATTTCCGGCCGATTTTTCACCAACCACTTGTGACCCTACATCGGATGCCAGGCAGCTCGACCACCGGCAGCGTGGGGTGGCACAGCCTCGAATCAGGCCTAAGGTTTTGGCGACCCGCGGGGTCAACATGGATGGTTCAAGTTCAGATTTGCCCAATAAATCGTGGTTCAAAAAACCCTGAATCAATCTGGATTATTGGGGTCACCCTTAAAAATAGTAGGTTGAAACGACAAAACCACATATCTATATTGGCAACCAACTATCTTTGCGGGTAACCTTTGGCGCTGGTATGCGCTGAATCTCGGTGATAGGCTTGAAGTCGATTCTATGCCACCAGAGGAAGAGCTTCTTCTCAGTCTCAGTGGCATCACGTACCAAAAATCCTTCCACCTCACTGGTTAGTAACTTGCTTCAGTTTCTCAATTGCTAAAAATGGAACAGCAAGAACTTGCTCGGAAGATTTCTGGCAACAGATTCTCCAACTGGGAGATTATTACATGGATTTCAGTTTTACCATGATTTACCATGGATTTCTCTAAGTTTTCATGGCCCTTGGTCAACCCCTGGACCGCTTAGGCCACGTTCGGGGCTCGGAAAAAAGCCAGCGGCATCCGCAAGAAGCGAGAAGATGACTGACCCTTCGCGTAGAAAAAGCCTGCATTTTTTTTTTTGACGAGATGGACAAAGACATCAATGGGATAATTTTGGTTAAATATTTTGTGAGGTATCTATAGACAACAAGAAAACTTGGGTATCATGTTGAGTGTTTTGGGTCTATGAAGTATCAAAAACGAAGGATTTGACGAAGAAATAGATGGGGATATCACTTGGGAATGGTGGTGTGTTGATGTTGGTTGGTGGTGAGTACTATCACTGGCTCTGCACAGGTAGTCAAGATGTTGATGCTTGGATATGTCAACAAGGATCCCCAGAAAATCATAGAGATTTCTTATCCTTTTCTATACTGGTCATTTCGATATTAGGATCCATTTTCTTTTCAAACATTCCTCAGATATCATTCAACCCTATCCACCAGTGTTCCCCTCTGCAGGGAAGACCTGTCGATGCTTGTTGTGGAGCACTGTGGAGGCCTTAATGGGATTCAATGGTGATATAACGGTCATTTATTGGTGGTATATTGGTGATATTGGTGATATAATAGGACATATAATGTGATATCATGTGATATGATATAAGGGTGATTTTTTGGTGGTAGAATGGTGATATATATATATATCCTGATATATATATATATATCCTGATATATATAGATATAATAGGACAATGAACAATGACTGGGAAGATTTCCCGGAACAAAACAGCAAGCCGCAAGCCATGGGTTTTCGTCAGACTCAACCAGGTTGGGTCTCCAAGACTTCGATGAAATGAGGCAAACTGAGGCTACACATGAAAAATACTCATGTCCTATCCCATAGGATCCATGTATGGTATATATGCTAACATTGGGGGTATCTTGATGGTAAATGTTACCATATATAGCATACATGGATCATATGGGTATAGATTTGTCCACAAAATCAGAAAAAAACAATCCATGGATTTTTTTGGGATGCGACTCATCCTGCTAGATAGATGATTTTTACAAGGGCAGGGTAAAATTTTATCATTTCCAATGCACTTCCCACTTTGGAAGTTTTTTTTACGTCGTCAGAATCTCTGCTGGCTTTGAATCCAACCAGCGGCGCCAGGTCATTTGGAAGACCATGGCAGGGGGCCCCGGGATGGGTCGGAAGAATTGAGTGGCTGAACTGAATCCCTGTTGGTTAGGGACTGGTTGATGAGTTCCGGGGTGAAGTTTCACTACCCTTCATATATTGGGGACGATCACAATCCATTTTTTAGGGATCCCGCATCCATTTTATTTTCCATAACCAAGCAGTAACGGACGACGTTGTTGGTTTTGAACACTGCTCAATTGTAGATTTTCCAGCCTCACTATGGTCGATTATAATGATAATTATACCTCAAGTTTGTTGGGGAACATCCCCATGTTTGATGATCAAAACTCATAAATCTTGCAGGGATGCTGAGCAGATCCGAAGATTGACGTAAAGAAAAAAAACTTTTTGGGCCCTCCCAATCCTCTGGTTGCTCATCATTTTCCCATCATTTTCCCCATGAAAATTGCCACAACTTGGACTACAGTGACTACAGGTCTGGGTGAAACATGGGGGCTCCCCGGGCTCCCCACCCGAACCGGAGCATCAAAGCGTGATGGCGGGATCTTTTGAGATTTTTTAGTCATAATTACCCATAGGATCCATGTATGGTATATATGCTAACATTTGGGGTATATTGATGGGATCCATGTTACCATATATAGCAGCACCATGGATCCTATGGGTTATGACTATAAAGAAAACCACAGGCCACAACTCGATGTACACATAGCACTGCTCGAAAAAGAAATATCTCCTGTTCACGTCCGATGCATCCAATCCTTTCGTGGTTTCAAGGTCACCTTCCCCATCTGGCAGATCCCATCTGGATGGTGGCTGTACCCTTAATGTCAACCCTGGATGAATAACCCCCAAACGGCTGTTTAATTGGAGGGGTAGCATTGATAAAGGAAAATATATTAGCCTGGTTGGTGGTTTGGACCATTTTTATCCATTTTTCCATATTTTCCAGATATTGGGAATGTCATCATCCCAACTGACGAACTCATATTTTTCAGAGGGGTTGGCTCAACCACCAACCAGTTACCATTTTGGGAACCCACCATATTAATTAATTTGGGGCTTTATTCATCAATATACCCAAATAATTGGTGGGAACAATTTTATTCATCAATATACCCAATCTTGGGTTTTATTACATCCATTAATTTAGGGAACAACCATGTTAACATTATGGGTCATAGAATTGGATGATGGGAAAATTTACAGGAAAGCCCTATATTTGATGGTAAAAACCATGGTTTCCTGTAAATTTTCCCTTAAACCAATCCAGTGAATGGGTGAACACCGATCAAACCACCATCCAGAACGCTGTTGTGGCCGTTGTTCCCATGTCAAAGGACCTGGGATATCGCCTTCAATTGGAGGCCGGCCGTGCGATTTTTGCAACGGGAAATTCAGCCTTAAAAACCCACGAAAGCCACTGGAAATGTGGGTTTTATACTGGTTTTAGAACATGAAACATGGAATTTCCACATCATTCAACAGAAGAAATCACGGTTCCGACAACGGACATGTAATTCGGATATTTGCTGGAGAATTCAACCTGAGGGGCGTAGGAAGTTTGAGAAACATATCTTCAGCTGAGCTGAGGGGTTCAAGGTTTTTGATTAGTCCATTTTGATCCAAACGCCACTTCGTTGCAGTTGCTGCCTCCCTGTTCCAGTCGTTGGCTTCGCAGCTTCACACTGCTGAGATCATCTCCGGTGAACCACTTGGAAGAATTCAGCCCTTTTTTGCGCCAGTGAAATAGAGGTTTCCTAAGTCATGGGGCTACCCCCACTTCTCATCCATTTCTAGATGCTATTTTCTATTATAAACCATTCAGCTATGGGGGTACCCCCTGGTATCCCCCTAAGAGCTGTACAGCCTAGATATCATCATCCCGACCGGCCCCAAAATATTTTTTTTTTATAGCAAAAAGCAGCAACCAACGGTCCATTTGGTTCCATGATGACAAACACAATTGATGATTTCTGAAAAGAAACCAAGCAACAGATCCCCTGGTTCAATCTCAAATCCATTGGTTTCATTAAATCACCATGAAATCCCATTAAATCACCATAAAATAACCATAAAATCACCATGAAATCACCATAAAATCACCATGAAATCACTACACAATCACCATGAAATCACCATAAAATCACCATGAAATCACCATAAAACCACCATAAAATCACCATGAAATCACCATAAAATCTTCACAAAATCACCATGAAATCACCATAAAATCACAACTAAATCAGACTGCTGCGTCAGGGACTGGACCGCAAGATCACGTCGCAAGGCATCCAGGTGAAGACGTAAAGCGGTTTGCGCCGCATCCAGGGGGAAATTTCACCTAGATGGAAAATGGACCATAGAAATGTATGATTTATATTAACTGGTTGGTGGTTTCAAACATTTTTCATTTTTCATAATATATGGGATAATCCTTCCCATTGACTAATATTTTTCAGAGGGGTTGAAACCACCAACCAGTGTAGGTAAAACATTTATAAACCACCCATTTGGGAATGGTTTATACATGTTTATACCGTATATACCAGCTATTTATGGTGATTTGAGGGATGGTTTATTTTTTCCCCACATTATTTGCATTGATTTCACAAATCACTATAAATAATATATATAATTATATATATAATTATATATATATATGAATATATATATCATAAGAATTATGATGGGTTACCAGAATAGGTGATTTTCCATTAGTAAAACTTGTTAATATAACTGATGGGACGACACATTTAATTACAGTAATGCATTGTTATATAAATAACTAACAACTATAGTAAGAAGTTACGATCAGTACAAAGTTGGGTTAAAGACTGTATATAGGGTGGTGGTTGGGTTAATTGTTACCCTCGTGTAATCAAACATGACAATCGGAAATCACATACAAACATGAAGGTTTCTGGCTGGGAAAAGAATCGAACTAAATGGAGATTTTCCAGCAAAACCATGTTTGATTACCGGAGGATATATGAATACAACTATAGTAAGAAATTATGGTTTGTACCAGGTTGGGTTAACACATGCGAACAACTATAGTTGGATTAATAACTAACAACTCTAGAAACATAACTGTTCGGTTTAAGGCAGATATATTTGGTGAATTAATGGGTTTTTCATGAGCCAACTGCCAAGCCTGGATGAATGTTAACCCCCTTGGCCAATCCATTCTGGCAGATCCGGGGTTCACATCTGGTTTACCCTCGGGTAAACATAACGATGGAAAACCACCATTTTTTTTATAGGTAAATCATGGTAAATCAGCTATTTCTATGGCCATTTTCAATAGCAAACTGTTTGTTTACTAGAGGGTATGATGGACAATGTCCTTGTTTTTTTTTTGGAGAACCTGCTAGGAAACACCATCCGATTTGTTCATAGTTGTTCAAGTACCCAAGCACTTCACCGTTTGTTCCTAGAGGCATTTCGTATAAGTCCACATGTGCATGTACATATTTACACACACGCACATCATGTACTGTATACACACACACACACGTATATATATATATATATATACATACATGTATAGATGTACATATGTAAGTTGACGCATATATGTGTATTTATAGATATAACATGTCTGCAGATGTCGGATCAAATTCCAAAGTCTCAGACTCCTGTGCCCATGGGACAAGGCTTAGGTTTGAGAGCAGCACCAGACAAGACATCAGCAGAAGTTGTGAGTGGACTATTTGATCTGGACAAACATGAGCCTCCCCCCCTCTCAGCCTTTGTTTTTTGCAAAAGAATCATGGATATTTTCATCCCTTCGTGACCTTGCTGGCAAGCCATCAAGAGGTTCGAAGGTGCATTTGACCATCCCGCAACATCCAAATCGACCTGTGCCAGGACATGTTTTCTCTCTTCGGCCCTGTGCTCGACTGCAAAGCGCTGGTGACATGTTTGAGATTT